TTGTTATCACTCTTGAGGAGTGTGACACAAACAGTTTCGCATGTATGCCTAGGTATGCTTGTAATACTAGAATAAACACCGCGCGGACTTTCAAATAAGTCGCGGCAAATCGGCAAATCGAACCGTAACCTATCGTCCACCATACACTTGCCACTAGGCGGGAGAACCTGAAGATTCTCATCTTAATTGGAAGCTTGCTACGGGACAGATACGATGATACGAGAATGTGGTGATGTTGTGCACATCAACACGAAGGGCTTGAAGGTGAAGTCAAAATCGAAGTTCTCCTGTGGCGGCTGCGGCCTACCTCACGTCAGCGTTCTTGGCTAATTGGCCATACTTTTGAGCTCCTGCCCTCGTGTTCAATGCACGCTTTCCAGGGTCGAGTGACAGAGGGTTAAACTTTGTACTATATCAGAAAATGATATTCATGGCCACCGCCCTTGATGGCAGGTGGTGACCGGTCAACTTTGGATACGTCATTGGTGTACTCGTTGCGGAGCTTCAAGTCACCATAGGGCTCGAGTCAGGGACTTGAACTTACCTGAACATGCAAACAATAAGCCAGATTCTGATCAAACTGAAACGTCGAGCATTACAGCACGACAGATTCTTACCTCCGGATAGTGCTGGGGGTTTATTTGCGGGCAATTGTGCCGGCAGAAATACACCAGTGGCGATTCTGCCACTTCTGCCACTTGGCAAAAATTTCAAAGAGGGAACAATAGATAAGAGGATGATTGCAAGTGCCTCCAAGGGATGTTTGTCGGTGCTGACTGCGAGGCTTTCCCACCATGCCAATCCATCAGCTTGTCCGCCTGAAAATGGTGCCACCGCAGCACAGGTTCTATACTTCGAGGTTGTCGATAAGCAGTTTGGCTTTTTCAACTCTCTCCCCATTGTTTAGTGACGGCGATCCCCTGTAATTTAACATTCCACCAGATTCTGCCAGTAGAATTCTGCTGGCAGATTCCAGAAGCCGCAGAAACGCCGGTTCTCCCAAACCGGCTGGCAGAAATGGCAGACTTTTGCCCGGACTTCGAGAGGTCTAGTTCGTGTGATAAGCAGACACTGTCTACTAAATGCCGCGGATGAGTACTGAGTCATGCTACATGGTTCTAAATCCTAAGCTGTGTGCGCGGCGCTTCTGGCGGCACAGTGTTGGTTGTTCAATCCTAATACAATTATATAAGTCTCCCGGAGGGAAGTAGAAACCTCATCTCTCACTTTATGGAGAGTTTGGGACTGCGGCTTCATTATGTCAACATCCCCGCTGTCAAGTATGACAGATTCCAAATGTAGGCTTGCAGGTCAGGATCGAATTCGCGCTTGGGACTTTGATGGATACGCTCCAAACTTCAAGCTTCATCAGGCGGCTCTGTTCCCTATACTTAGATGCAAGTGAGTTTCGTGTAGCTATGTAGTGTGGGCATATCGACAAGTGAATGAACATAATTTATTGGGAGGTATGTGCACCTTTCTCCGATTTACATGAAGCAAAGTAAGTAACGTCCTGAACTTTTTATATTATTTGTCATTATTTGTTTGCCAAAGTGGTCTCCTTCATCAATTGGCTAACTCCTCGTTCAACCAGGACGGGTTTCCATATATAGAGAAAAAGAGACGGGGTTTGAAATTTGAACCAACTTCCATTCACCGGGTGTGCGGCGACATGAGCATGCGATATCGAGTTGCTACGGCAGCTTGAACAAGAGCAAGCTATGCTTAATTAAGCTTGAGGCTTCGGGTCCACATAGTACCCGTGGGAGTCGGGTTCTGGGATGCCCGAGCACGAATGTATATTTGCTTACTAATAGAGTCTACTACGAGATCGGGTCGAATTTCAAATCTGTGATTACAAAATAATTAGGTGACCTTTTCCATGGATCCGGCGGGCTGGCAAGGCGTGATGCTGATGCCGTCCCGGTGGCCGCATCTCCCGTGACTCGAAGTTCTTCGATTCGATGGTCCGCTGTTACGTATGTCGTTGTATATATCGGGTCTATCATGATCAGGCGCTTTCCATAACATAAATCGACGGCAATCCTCGAGGCCCCCTAGGCTATGTTACAGCAACCGGTTAGAGCCAAACGCAGGCGGCACGTTACGCTAATATTACCCTCTATGTGGGAGTGACAAGCTCGCCTCGAGGCACCTTTTCGTCATACGTAACCTTGTCAGACCCATATATTAATAAGTCAATCATCGCACCTGGGCGTTTTGCCTATAGCGAAGGAGCTGGATATCAATTCCACCCCCGACCTCAGTCCTTGGCACAAGTGTAGTGAAATGGGCTTCTTCTCCAACGTGTCTCACTTTTTTTTCGATGCTGGGATCCTGTCTTGGGATGTGCTCCTCGCACTCCTCAATCTCGTAAGGAGGAAACGCCGTGTCGGGCACGTCACACCTGAGGGCCATCCAGGCTATGGAGGGCTCTGGCCCGAGTTTAGGCCTCCTCAGGAAGGTGACTCCCGCTGCTCATGCCCAGCACTCAATGCGATGGCCAATCACGGTCAGTCTTGGTCTCACAGACAATTTTCGTTTCAAGGCTTACGTTGAAACGCAGGCATCCTCTCGCGCAGCGGCCGCGATATCTCATTTGTCGACCTTAACCACCAAATCCGGACAACTTACAATTTCGGTCCTTCCTTCTGCTCCTATGTGCCGCATTTTGCCGCTCGCATGCTCAAAAGAAGCTACAGCAAGGATACTTTTGATTTGGAAGAACTCGACCTCCACAATGGTATCGAACACGACGCATCTCTCTTCCGTAAGTGATTTACCATACTTGTCTGGCTCGCATGTCGAATAAATCGTCTTTAGGTCTTGACGCTGCCCTTGAACCAAACCAATCGATGAAACACATACCTTTCATCGAGGAGTTACTTACGTCATCTACCGGCAAGGACAAGAATGGCAGCGATATCCTTACCTCCAAAGATCTCTCCAGGATTCTCGGCAAGCGTCGTGCAGTGGCACGTGCAATAAACAAGGAGTTTTCGCTCAGCTTCTTCCACAAAATCTTCGGTAGTGCAAAGTATGTATCATTACATCATCCGTTTTCAAGCACACACTCAACGTTTGCATCAGCTCCTCGACACTGCTCACAATCTTTGGAGGTCGTGTGGATGACCTGCGCAGCATTGTTCTTCACGAGCGTATTCCAGAAGGCTGGGAATCACGCATTCGTCAACCCTATGGACTGACTATGACGCACTTCAACAAGACTGTACTGGCGGTTGAACTCGGTGTGCGCGAGAAGGATTGGGCGAAAGAGGCGCAGGAAGCGGCTGCACGTCATAATGGTGCTTCTTAAAATCCCCCAGGACGTTGGATGATATCGTCCAAAGTCGTCATTCCCCACATTTCACCCCTGCCAACATTATGATGCGTTCGTGATTTTCTACGTGGTCCTGTATATTAGATGATGTATGTTGACGCCCCCGATACTCGAATTCTTACGTGGAGACACCTATGGTTTGAGATGAAATTTACTATTTGTGGAACACGGAAAAATGTATTTGGGCTAAGCTTGATAAAATCTACTCTGAAATTGCAAACCCCGCGAACGACTAACTACCCCGCGAACCTCAAAGCTCCCCTCAAATACTGATGCGCTTGTAGAACATCATCGTTCACAATGTGTTCACCATTCCCTAGTGAATGTAATCTTTTGTTAATGCGTGGGGGGTTAGCATCGAATATATTGAATATCGAATGGTGACGGTCGTTGCTATTGTGGTCCGCTCTTTGTGGTTTCACGATAGTCGTGAATGAAGATCAACCATTGCAATGAAACTAATCAAAGACCAGCGCAGCTGCACTTTATAGAAACCTCCGTACGGGATCTGCTCCAGGCCCAATATCGTGCACAACGTAGTAGCTGAAGAACAACACCTTGAATGTCAGCGCTAACCCAGCATGCAGTGCGCCGACCACGACTATCAGTAGACGAGTGGCTTTAGCATCGGCCTAACAGAGTTGTCAACAATCAGGATCAGGTGAGGGATATGACCATACCATCGCCAAGATTGGGTACACGTTCGTTACCAGGAAGTACCCTGATAAGCTGAATGCGATGCCCACCAGAACCCAACGTAAAATAGAGACGGGTATGACGCAAAGTATCTACAAGACAACGATCACTCAAAAACGGTGCATCTAAGTTGAGACATTCATGTACTTACCGAAACCGGTATCCAGACAAATAATGAGTAACCCCAGACCCCAAGTGCTTCCGCTACGCCCCATTCACCAACGCCGATGTAGCGTAGTGTGAGCCACAGAAGAACCGGTACTGCAAACGTGTATATATACACGATCGTTGTTGCCAGACCAAGCAGGCCAAAGTCATATTCATATGCAGTTCCTGGGTCAGAAAGGTAAGACGAGATGCTTGCTGCAAGGGACGAAGATAGGAATAACGCCAGTATGAGCGTAGTTGGGATCCAGAAAGGGCCGTATAGGTCAGCGCTGGGTGCAAGAATCGTCAGGTACGAAGGTGAAGTGGGGAGAAGCGTCGTATAACATCGCTTCAAGACGGTTGAGGTATCAACGTCAAAGTATGGCTGATAGTATTCGACTGTCCAGAACCCGGATGGACTTTTGTGCGTGGTGTGA